GGACCGCCAACGGGCGGGGCAGGGGGGAGCGCACAGCCGTCCGCAATGGATGTGGATAAAGAGGGGAGTAAGGGCGATGAGAAGAAGACCAAAGCGGCCAAAGAGGCTGCCGTAGCGTCAAAGAGCGCAAGGCCGCATCCGGCGAAAGCGTCGCGTCCTGAGGCCCTAAGCGGCTTGTTGGATGTGACACTGATCAGCGATGTACGGGAGCGTGATCGGGATATTTCCGATGACGAGTATTCCCCTACGAATGTGTGCATGTTTCCAGAATCATGGGAGGGCGCAATGCCGACCTCCGTGACTGAAAAGGCCGGAGGCTTTGAGCAGTTCAGAAACGAGCTCATGAGGATCCAGAGAATCCTGGATTCTCCGGCGTTGGTTGACCTTGGTAAGGTCGATCTGGACGCTCTGGGCGAGCCGCCCAGGGAGTACGTCTCGGATGAGGATCACGAGAGTCACGTAGACGATGATGGGATGGGTCCATCTCAAAGCAGGAGCCGCCTTACTATGAGGCAAAGGCGTGGCGTACCACAGGAAATTGAGAGGATGAAGAACCTTTTTCCATACTTTCGTGCCGAAAATTATCGGCTTATGTCAGCGGGGACTGGTCCCATAGGTACCAAAGCGCACGTACAGGGCGTCCTCCCTGCTGGTGCGTCGCTAGAGGAGGCACTAATGGCAAAGCCCGATGTGTGCCCGATTGCGAGCACCTACAACCTCACATACGAGGGTGAGGAGGTTGTGTTTGATGCACAGAGCGGGACAGCAGGCAGAATCGGGTAACGACATATTCCATTTTTTCCCCGAAATTAAGGATGCGTCGGCGATGATTGGGCGAAGCTCCAGGGAGTCGCAAATGCTGCTAGAAATTTTGTCGGGCAACACTGACCCAACGCGGTTGAACGTGAAGCCCGGTGAACCGGCCCCCTTCTTGTTTGGGACGGTTCCAGACATTCTGGGAGGTTGGATGTCAATGACTCTAATCTCAACGCTCTTTGAGGCCCTATACGGGATCCATAAGTGCACGAGTGTCGAGGTGGCGACCTGGGCGGGTTCTCTCGCGAAGGAGAACCCAGCGTACCCCCCAGTCGAGCTCCTAATACGGACGGTCTGGAGGGGAGATGGCACGAATGTGCGCCCGAATGAGGTGCTGTTTGCGCGTTCCACCCTAATCGGGAGGGACGTGCCGTTCAAGGTTTTCAAGCGTTGGGCACTGCATGACCGAACGCCTATGGGGCCTTTGCTTAGGCCGATGGGAGCAGCGGAGGTCCCTTATACGGGATACGTTGGCCGAGTATCGGTCCGCCCTCAAAACGAGGTGCATTCGGAGGCCCGGCAAATTCGCCATCACAGTTTTTCCCATGCGACCTGAGCAGGTCTGCAGGGGGGAGATCACGATTGGGTTGGAGGGCGCAAAGGTGCCTTTCCTCAAGTTGCCAAGCCCCAATAGTGAGGGCGAATTTTATGTTGACGATCGCGTCAAATACATGGACAAGCGCCATGTCGTTGTGGCCGTTGACCTAAAGTGGATGGCCATCGAGGAAGCCGCCGGCATCTATAAAACCCGACGCGGTTTGATTGCTGTGCGGGAAGAGATACATGCACCCTTCTGGCGCGCATGCTATCTGCACCAGGAAGGGGATGTAATATACATCCGGGTCTGGGTGGTCCGAGAGTTGAATGTTCAGGGACCGCGGAGAGGGGTGTCATTTTCATGGGACAAAGCTCCCATGCATGACTACTGGTGCCCCCGGTGCGCGCATTTGAATATGTATGGCACCATTCCATGCAATGGTTGCCATTTCTATCGAGAGTGGGTGCCAGGCACCATCCGCTCCCAAGTTAGGAGAGGGCAGCCAGTCTGGTTGGACGGACTCAAGGCAGTCCGTGCCAGCAGCTGGTATGAAGGGGAGACTGACGTGTGGGCTCCTCTCATGGCATCGGTAAACCCGATCCGCGAGGTGGTCAGCTGTATGATCTCCGGTTTGCGCTGTGCGCCGCACCTTGTGCGCAATCCCAATGCGGATGTTGTGCAAGTTGCGTTTCAGGAGGTTGCAAAGGTCACCTCAAAGGACACTCACGCTTGTGTGCGTGCGAGTGATGAGGCTCTCGAGCGGTGGGTAGCGAAACAGCTGCTCATCGAGGAGAGCAATACTGGCGTCCCAATTCCCGACAATATGTCTGTCATGACATATTTGATCGAGCACCCGCAACAGGCGGCGCAATGGGGTCGTCATATGACGAGAAAGGGCAGTCTAAATTCAGCATTTGCCCTTTACCTCTCTGTGCATATTTATGATGCCTACCGCATCGGAATTGAGGACGGATATTTGGTTCCGCTGTATGGCCTAGGCGCCTCACGCGCGGACATCATAATGTCATTGGTGCAGGCTGAGCGACGCCTCGCGGACTTCAATAGTGAGGACCCAAGTTTTGATGCCTCCACTGTTCTTGATTTGAGTATCGACTCTCTGCGGGCCGGTGGTGGATCCATCACGGCCCCGATTGAGTATGCTGAGGCATACATTTATGTCGAAGACAACAAGGTTGACATGGTCCCCGCTGCACAGCGGGACGGCCAATGCGCCATTGTTTTTGCTGACCCACCGACTGGGAAGCACCATAGGCGGGCAGCCACTCCTAGGGGAGATCAACGGTCTGCTACCCCGCGACCTGAATCCAGGTCAAAGCGGGATCAGCAAAAGGGCAAAGCCCCTGCGCAATCCTGGCCCAAGGGTGGAGGTCACAAGGGTGACCAGTTTCCAGGAAAGGGTCAAAAGGGTGATCAGTACAAAGGCAAGGGTGGCCAATACGGCTACCAACAAGGGCAGTTCGGTCGTGGCGGATCCGCCAGATCGAGAACTCCCACTCGCGGGTATCAGCCTGATGCTCGCGGGTCGGGATACAAGGGTGCACAGGCTGCCCCTTACCCGTTCCCGAGTCCGATGTATCCCACTTTCCCAATGGCAGGATACATGCAACAGCCCATGGCTGGCATGATGCCACAAATGTGGCCTGGCGCAATGCCGCAGGGTTGGCAGCCGCATATGCACGGTGATCCCCGCGAGTTCGAGAATCCGAGCTCGCCGCATACCCCTACATGGGGCGACGGTGACGAGTTGGCCGAGACTGTGCCTCCTCCCCCTGGGGACTGGAATGTCAGCAAGGGGAAGGGGCGGCACGGCGGTGGACGACATCGGTGATACCTGAAGTCTGTCCATGCGTTTTGCATGGCTGCGCCAAAGCGCGCATGCTTTCATTCCGGAATTCACAAAATGGACTATGCTCCTTGTAGTATTTCTTTGTCTGGGCTATTCGCCGTTTCAGAATTCAACTGCATGCGTAGCTGTGCGCTATTCGCGCAAGCTGCGATTACCTGTCAGGTGTGCATCGCCGCAGCAAGGCAGTCACTCTCGGCGGCGTCTATGGCCGCTGGTGATCTGCATCCACCTGCACCGCTGCTGCTGCTGGTGATGGTGCTCATCAAGGTGCCGAGGTGAAGATCACGGGTGCCCTGCACCGCTGCCGGTGATGTCCTACTCGGACCTGAACCGCGGATCGCTGCTGGTGGTATCCATGGCGATTGTCCTCGAGTGATCGCGCGCCTAGACGGTGCTAATTTATAACCAAAGCTCATTGGTCTATGCACCATGTTTCAACCAACTGGCCAATGCGCCTAATCTAATAATTAAAAATTAAATCCACTTGAATCAAATGGTTCAATGCGGTTGCAATGCGAATGACAATTCTTTGGCTTCATGCCGGCCATTCCGAAGTTGATCCTTTGTTCTTTTCTTTTGTTGTTTTCTCTTGTTTGATTTGGCTACCGGCGAGAATCCGCCCCATACCCGTAATTCGGGGGGTGGCGGGATCCGGGCACCAATGAGTGCCCGGGTATGGGGTCGCGAACCCTGGTAGCCTAATCGGCTTTGTTTGTCTTGTTTGTTGCATTTCAACTTCAAAATGGCCAACGCGCCCTTCCAAATTCACTCCTTCTCTTTGTACAGGCGAGGGGTGTGTTTTTGGGGGCATGTACTTTTATCATAGCAGTTTGTAGTACGCCATTACCCAACGCGGTATTTGGCTCAAGCTTTTCAACCCGGCAAACATAATTGCTGTTCCCGGCGCCATTACTTCACGGCACGGCCGGACATCCGCTAGCTGGAAAAGCGGCGGCTGTACCTGGCTGTGGTGTTGCTCTTTGGCGGGGTCAGATCGAGGACTGTTTGGGGTTGGTGTGTATATTGTTTGCTCGCTTGCTCGCTTTGCTTTGCTTGCTCGCCTGCGTTGGTGCTGCTGCTCTTGCGCTTGCTGCGCTGCTTGCCCTTGCTGGGCTCTTTCTTCTGTTTGTTAAACTGGCACCCCTTTTGGTTCGTGTTTGTGCCGGCCGGGGGCAACTGCTTTGCCCTTGGGACCGGGGGGATAAGGTGGTCTCTTCTTGTTGGTGGGTTAGGGCCTGTTTTATCCATCCCGAAACTCTGTTTCAAACCCTTTCGCATTAAGCATTGACGGGTGGAGTTGTCTTCAAGACGTATCTTGAAAGACATACACGCGTTGCAAACTTATCTTTAAGATGCATGTGCTTCTTTCTGAGAGACTCCTGCGACTGATCAATGGCATGTTTTGGGAATCATGTGTTTTTGATGCACACGCCATTGCAATGTTGCATTCATGTGCTGAGAAGGATTGTGTTGACAATGTTGTCGACATCAGTTGATGTGCCTCAACCTTACCCCTGGTGCACGGTTCAATGTTGACTGTTGCGTGTAGGGTGAAAGCCAGCAAGACAAGGCAGACCGTGCAATCCGCGGGTCAAATAGGTAGCACAACTAGGTCCTCTAGTAGTGCCCTTTTAGCCTTTTTTTGGGGAGGCTTCCCCTACTAAAATAGACGAAACAAAAAACAAGTTGGTACCCTTGTTATAACCTCTATACTGGAGGACCTAGACAAAAGCGGTTGCTTGTAGACGGCCAAAGACATACCGGACGCTTCGGACCAAGGTCACGGTGTCCGACGTCACGGCGCACGAGGCGTACATCTTTTGGCGCCCAGGGGTGCTGCATGCGCCTCGTCGCTGAGGTTTGGACCACCAAAGTTGCTGAGGTGTTTTGCAACAGGGCTGCCCCTTTGGCCTGTTCATAAATTACATCTGATTACCAAAGCACGAGGGAACAATCATATTCGGTCGGCGTCCTTTAGTTCCCTCTTTCCGGTTAATGACTACCAAAACACACAAGGGAACAATATTGGCTTGGCTTCCTTTCGTTCCCACTTCCCGGAAACCAAATGTTCTACCCTTGTGCCAGGGTCTTTGAAGCAACCCTGAGACATGCCAGACCAGCGGACGTGGCCGATTTGACATTAGGATAGGATGAAACCGGGGCACTGCTCCAATCTGGGTTCACCTCGGTCCCTGTTGATCAGATTGCCTGTCCCGCGTCTGGATCTTACTCGAAGGCTAGGAGTAAAGGGGGACTACTGAGTGCGCAGAGCGCAAGAGAAGCATGGATGTGGTATCCTACTTTTGTCCTAGACGTTGGCCAATAGACCAGATTTAGAGGCTCATTACGGCCCCCGATTTTGTCCGAATAATTTGAGAGGACGGTGTCATGAAGTAGGTTTATTCTTTGTCTTGCCTCACTTCTATGGGGTTTATTACGTATCTACATAGTCACATAGGCTTGCCTCCAAAGCGGAACCTTAAAATGGAAGAAGCTTTTGTTTTTCTCTTTAGTCCAACCCCAAGCACGTACTGGTACCAGCTGCTCGCCTGTTTTCCTTGCCGGTGTTGCCCCACTGTGTCTAACAGGACCCATTGCACTTCCTTCTTGTTTGGGTGGGGGAGCAACAGTACCACTGCGAGTTGCTCAAAGCGGACCCGTGTACAAAAGGGAAGCCCAAAGCTGCAAAGCCACCATTTTTGGGATCCCATTTTGAGACCTACCCTCAGGTAACCCTCAGTTAGTGGTTTGATTTTGTGGTTTGGGATTTGAACCCCCGGCTCTTGTAGAGGCTAAATTGGAAAATTCTCAACCACCAATCCAAACCACCAATCAGAGGGAAGCTGATCCATCCGAATGAACTTGCCTGTCCTCTCATCGCCCAGGACTGCGACTTCCAGCGGTGGCAGCTCCAGTTGCAGTCGGACTCTGCGGGGCGCCACAGGGGGCCCGTTGGGTTCGCATTTGACCCATTTGCTGGTTGGTTTGATATGAGTTGCTTCTTTTGCTTGGTGTGTTTCCTTGCTGGGGCTGTGTTTGTTGTCTTTAAGCTTTCCGCTTGCGCGGTTGGTTTTGGTTGATTTCTGGTTGCCCTGCCTTGGGCCTGCAGAGGCAGGTTCAGCCTTTGAGAAGGTTGTTGGATGCCAATGAGGTGTTATACCCTGCACGTTTGGTGGGAGGCCATTCTTTTGGAGGCACCCATTGTTTTGCCCGAGTTTGCGTCCCCATCTTTGAAGCATCCCACGCCACCCAATTTTGTCATCTGAGCCAATAGATGAGCTCACTCATCCTGAATCATGTGGAATGCATGCTTGCGTTTGACTGGGACCTAATGAGGCAGCAACATGAGACAGTCGGCGCAATTCACAAGGTGCTGAACAAGTGTCAGAGGACTGCATCAACGGAGTTGGCGGATTGCAAAAACGATTGTCGAAAGAGCTTCTCCACCAACAGCGACACTTACCATCTCCCAGCAAGGAGACTTGTGTTACGTATTATCAATTATCATTGATGTATTTGGCGTGAGGCACCGTGACATGGATACCAGGGGCGCACGTATTGATGTGTCACAACTGTAAGGCAACGGATGGCAACGATAGCATCCATTGGTAAATGATGGAGATGGTATGCTGCTTCATGAAGTGCAAATGGTGGTGCCTAAGTGGCTGTGCGCATGGGCCAAGGGGATTCCTGCACGCCTTGCTACCTAGACCAAAAAGTTTTGCCAAGGACTGGTACGTTGCAGAGGCCTGCAGCAAGGATCGTCTGGCAGATGCTTGGCTGATCGGGGATGAGGGAACGCCACTCAGGGCAACTCTGGTAAGCCACAAATTCAATGCAACGCAATCAACAACCAACTTGACCTCCTTTGGCTGCCTGAACTTTCCACTTGTGGAAACGAGACATCGCCTGCTCCTAGCACAACCAGTTTTTCAATTTCTCTTGTTTGGCAAGCTTTTGCTAGGCCGCTCCTGATCCCAGTGCAAGAATTGGCTTCAATGGCATACAATGGCACCAGCCACATATGCCACTGGAAGGATGAAGAGTGTGAGGCCCTAATCTTTGTGTTTTCTGCTAGGTCTCGCTTGGGACGCAGCTTCCCAGGACAGCAGCTGCCACTTGCAGGGGCTGCCGTGCAGCCAGCAATTCCGCCTGCGCATCTCTGGTGCCGTGGGCAATGGGACCCGGCGCTTGGGACGTGGGACCCCTGGACCCTGGCCGCTTCTTCCTGGATGGACCCACCATCGTCAGGTTGGCTCGTAAGTTAGGCGGAGAACAACTGTTACAGACACTATTACAACCACTATTCGTGACTTGTTTGTTTTTGGCCTTTTCCCCCCCTCCCAATAAATCGCTGCGTTGAACAGAAACTGTGCGCGATCGCAAAGGCAAAAGGTATTTGGAGCGTCTCATGTCTGAAACAAGGGGCCCGAGAATGGGATCCGAGTTGATGAACTCGGGAACCCATGTGCACATCTGTTGAGGACACACACCAGGATGGGCGGGTGGATGGGGGAGTTCACGATGGATTTTTGGCTTCACTGCAGCATACAGGTCTTACAATTGGTCCTTGATGCCAAGAGCCGAAGAAGCATTGCTTGCAATCGCAAATGCTGCCCCTGTAAGGTTGCGCCAAGCGGCTTTTGTGTAAACAGCCGCAATTTCCAGATTACCATCATAACCACACTTGACCCACATGAAAATGCCGAACAGGGACGTAGGTGCAGACGAGGGGGCAAGCGCAAGCCCATTTGCCCCCGGTCACCGCCGAGTGTAGTGCATCCATTCGTGCACGTTTGCTGGTCAGATTTTCTGCTTGGACTTGGATTGCCTACCCTGCAACTTGGGCTGTGTGCTTCTGGTAGGAAGGCTTTCCAAGAGTTATTTGGCTTGACAGGTGGCCTGACGTCTCCTTTGGTCTGTCTCTTTTTTGTTTAAGTTCCCTTCTTTGCTTAGTTTTGGTCTCTGGTTTTTGGCCTCTTGTTAAACCTTGCTTACTTGAGCATTTGCTCATCACCAGGTCACCAGCGTGAGACACGCACACACACACACACACATCGCCGTGATCATGGATGTGAGTCTTAGTCACTTCAGGGTGTAGGGATCCGGAGCCGAACGCGTGGTGTTTGTGTGTATGTATGTGCGTGGGTGTAGCTTTTTTTTGGCAAACGTGGGCTACACAGCATACTTGAGGCATGTTGGTAGTCAATCTGAACTTGACTGTTGGGGTTGGGATTTTCGCGCTGTTTTCAGATCCCAGATGTGTCTCCTCCCCCTCCCTAGTTGTCTTGACCCATATGTCAAGACCACTTTTCAGAGGTGCATGTTGCTTGGATGTTTGGACTTTAACTTTTTGCCAACTAAAGCACTAAAAGTTAAACTTTTAGCAGGGGAGCAGAAAGCAACCAAGTTTTAGTGGCACTGATCCGACGGGCACCTCTGGAGGCGTTTGCAGCGAGAGCAGCAGCGGGGCAGCGGAGACGAGCTTCGCCACGCCCTTGGTGGCGGGCTGTCTGAAGAAGGCGGGATGCTGCCAACGGCCAACGGCCGAGCAGCCAATCAGGCGCTTCAAAACCACCTTCTCCAGGTTTTTCTCATATGGCCATGGGTGAAAATCCAAATCGTACCTTCAGTGAACATCCCAATCCCCACTAAAATGGGTTCTAAAATGGGTGGTGCTATTGGTTTTGACCCACAGCCATATCTATCCATGCTTGAGAGCCTGAGGGTGCATGACATTTGGCCAAAGAATCCAGCATTCCGTGGTCAACTTGCAACTTGGGAGGGACGTGAGCAACTTGAAATGTCCGACCAAAGCCAGGTGACGCAACAATCTAGCCATGTCCAGTAGGGTGTAGCAAAATCTGCCAGGCTACAGACCCACACGGCTTCCCTGATGGCAGTGCAGATTCCTTTCGCATCCATCTCTCCCGCGTTGCTCCTTTTCCAGAAAAAGAAAAAACACCGACGCTGAACTGTCGAAGTACGATGAAAACAAGAGGAAGGAGCTCAACCTTTCTCTAACCCTTCTAGGTCCCCCAGTAGTGCCCTTTCTCACCCTTTTGTGGGGGAGGGTTCCCCTACTAAAATAGACTACAGAAAGAAGTTGGTACCCTTATTCTAACCTCTCTACTGGAGGACCTAGCTTTTAGAAGCTAACATGAACTCATGGCAGCGGCGTCCTTTCGGAGTTCAGTTCAAATCGTCCCAGCACAGGCAAATTCGTAGCCGCGGCTACTTCATGGCCAATCCGTTTTCAAGCCTATGGCCAACGTATGGCCATAGCAAATCTCCAGTGACGAAAGCAATCCGAAAACCTGGCAAATGGCCAACCTGAGTCACAATCAAAACCCGGGCAAGTGAAGGTTAGTAAGGGACAGTCCCAACCATAAGTAGTTGCGGCCGCCTTCTTGCTTCTCATGATTCTGGGATGACGACCATGTCAATCCTGATCGGTTTTGATTGTGACTCACCTAGAGTTGCTGGCGATTGATGGCCGAGCCAGCAAACCGACAAACTGTTCAACTGGCCACCTGCTATGGATTTAAGCAAACCCGGAAAACCACTCTCCCAAAAAAGACCAAAAACCTCAAAAAAACAAAAAAAACTGAACCAACACCAGTCTACCGGAACCAAGCCCAACAAAACCCGCCGCCAGCCCATCCCGCTGGCCACTCGTCACCAGGCGCTGGCGCCCTCCCTGGTGGAGGCCTCCGACGCGACGGCCTCAGAGGCGCGGCTGGCCTGGCGCCCCGCAGAGGCGACGCCGGGGCGGCGCC